ATGATAATATTAACTGAAATATATTATATAACTGTCAAATACGTCTATAAAAGTGGCATTTTATCTATTATTTTATAAACAACTGTATATAATAGAGGATTATAGACTATATGTCTAATTACTTACTATATCTCTTATACTTATTTGGACCTTGAAAATATTTTTAGGAATAGGTATTATAATAAAATTTAAAAATAAATATACAGTTGATTAATCATTTTGAACTCGGCTAATTACAATATTAATTTTTTTAGTTTTAAATTAATAAATGATTATATTTATTTAATTAGGGTAATATAATAATTTAAGTAATAATAGTCAATTAAGCTTCAACTGTTAATGTTAAATTAATATTTAGTGGGTTATATTAATATTCTATTTTTAACACAAAATTCGATTGCAAGCTGACATAGTGAAAATATAATTTATATGTATTAATCTAATCTAATATTTAAAATAGTATTCATTTAATAAATATTTAGAGAGTCTTATTAACTTTTAAATAAGGAAATTAAATCTATATATTACTTAATAATTATAAAAGAAATCGTTCAGGGGGCAATCAAAAAAATTTATTTTTAGTTCAAGGGGTTAAGATTCCATTAAAATTTTTTTTTTTGCTTCAGGGGGATATTCACATTTTTCAGGGGACTCGAGCCCCTGCGACCCTCCCATAGTGACGCCACTGCCTCAAACGCTTCCTAACCTATAAGAAATAGTTGTTTCGGCAAGATAACTCGATCATTAGCGGGGATTGGCATATCCTGGGAACTCACTAAATATTAATTTAGCATTAACAGTTGAAGCACAATTGACTTTTATTATTTAAATTATTATATAACCCTAATTAAATAAATATAATCATTTATTAATTGATTCATAATTTAATATTTTCGCCGAGTTCAAAATCACTAATCAACTATATTATTGATTTTTAAATTTAATTATCATGTCCCTTCCTAAAATTATTTTCAAGGTCCAAATCCAAATAAGTATAAGAGATTTCTTTATAAAAAGTAAGTAGACATATAGTTTATAATCCTCTATTATATATAATTTTTTATAAAATATTAGGTAAAATGCCACTTTTACAGACGTATCTGACAGTTATATAATATATTACAGTTAATATTTTAAAAATTTTACTAATAAATGCTTTTGATAATTAATATAAGTAACAATTTGCTTATAAATATTTAACGCCATCTATTTATTTACAATATAATTAAAATATAGCGTATTATTATTCATCCCACAATGGATGTAATAAATTAGATATCTTTTCTTTTCCTTTTTACGTGTTTTTAGAAAGCTATTTTCTTCTTCTTCTGAATATAGATTTGAGTTAAATTTTTAATACGAATATATTTTTAATATTATTACAAACTACTATTATTTTAAGATATAATATACCAATACCAACTAGAGATGGTGCGACAATAATATATAAAATCTTAATTGCTTTTATGATATCACTCTGGTTCTTATTTTGTAGTTACAAAATGTTTCATTTCTAATATGGCATTTTTGCCGTGTAAATAACTCGAGGCTTCAATATATTTGCATAATTTCTTCTAAAGGTTTTTAGTGTTTTTGTTTTATCAATTTATCTAACAGAATATATTCTGAATGGGTTACCATCGTGAGTTTCATGGCTAGGACTGCAAATTAACCAGCATCTATTATTTGTGTGGCTATGTAATTTAAGATTATTACTACAGCTGCTGAGAGCATATGATATGATCGCATATTTTAGATAAACAATAATGGTCAACTGTGTAGTCGTTTATATATCATTAAAAATGGAAGATAATCTTTTAGAAATTTAATATCATACAAAAATTTTCTCGATTACTAATCTAGCTCCATCATGTCATCTAAGAGGAAGCTCTAACCACCATATAGTTTTATGATTTGGATTGGTCGTTTATATTGATTTGGTAAGGTATATAAATTTTTTCTTATTAGTCCATTCTATAAACATTGTCTAAAATGGTAATAATGAGTTATATTAGTTTCATGACCTTTTGTCAATGTAAGTTGCTAATATTATATTATTATGTAGTTTTCAAAAACCATTATCAATTGAGGCATATATATATATGAATTAATTAACCTTTTTTATCATTTATAATTCTTTAGGTGCAAAATTTTTTTATATCTACAATCGAAAATATTATAATAAATGACATTCAGAATAATTATTTAGAGTTAGTAAATTTAAAAAAAATATAATATATTAATATAAACCCCGAAGGCCGGACGAAAGTATGGGGGGCCAAGGCCCCCATAAAATTTTTTAGTTGAGCTTCCTGAGATTGTAAAGGCTAGCGACGCCCCTGCTGTACATCCATCTCTCTCTTCAGAAATTTAAACTTTATGCCCTTATTTTTTAATTTAAAAAGTATTTTGAAATAATAATTATTCATAAGATTGCTTCTAGTAAAAAATAATTTTTTGAGCCTCAAATATTTAGAAAAAGATCTCTTCATCACATCCTTGAGTATTATTCTAGGATGAAGACGTTTAGTTTTTATATGACTTCTCTTAGTGATACTTTTAATTGTCTTCAAATTTATAAGTCTCAATTTTTTTATATCGCATTTGGTGTCACTTATAAGAGTTTTTTTAATTTTTTTAATTTTATTTTTTTCTTTAATCTTTGTTCCATTGTTTTCTTTAATGTTTATTTCCTTATTTTCTATAATCACGAATATTTCAAATTTAATTATATAATTTATCTCTTTTAGTTTATAAGAATCTCTTTCATTTTGAATATTTGGTTCTAATTCAATATTTTTCAATTTTTTGTTACAATGATTATTTCTTTTATTATAATGTGTTTCTTTACCATATTTATTGTCTAATTTTCTATTTTCATAATACTCCTCATTATTAGATTTATATTTTTTTTTATTATAAACATTTTTCTTATCATGGGATTCACAGTTATGACATCTAAAGTTAAAATTACTGTAGTCTCTACAATTACAATTTTCATAATATCTAAAATTATTTTTATTGCTTTTTATTATAATTAATATCATATCTTTTAACAACGTTTCGTCCAAAGTTGTTTTTAAAATGCTCATTAGGTTTATAATCATTATAATTTCTTTTGTTATAATTTTTATTTCTATTATTATTATAATAACCTATGTCCCTAGTATTATATATTTTTTTAGACTGAATTTTGTAAATATGAAATCTATAATGATCCGGGAATTTAATTAAATGTGGTTTATCTACATAATATTTTTTAATTATAGCTAAGAATTTATCTTTATGTAATTCAGTTAATTCCCACATTTGGTCATAATCCCAGAAATCAAAAATACGAAAAATATCAATGGGTAGGTCATCAAGAAATTTAACTGTTAATTCATTATTAAGTAAATATTTTCTAAGGTTATCTAAGTATTCATATATGTCCATTATGACTAATTTATATTTAAATTTTTTATTAAATTATTTTATTAAGTTATATTGGAATTTTATAATAACTTTTTTGTTTTTTAAGTGGATTTAGAATATTTTATAAATCATCATTGGTTTTACTACATAGAATTCATAACATATTGTCTAACTATCATATCGGTTCTTGTAAGTTCATATACCCAATTTTAATAATTTTTTCCATTTATAACAACTCCATCATCCATGATAGATTAGTCTAGTTTGATATTAAGTTTAGTAATTCTCCTTCCCAGTTGATCGGCATATACACAATATATATGAGATTTATTTATATATCATTGTGAGCTATCATTCCGGGGCCGGGGCACCATGTTATATAGGCGATAACAGTGGTGAATGATAATGGTGGAGATTTTAATTTATAATAATTTTATTCTAAAACTAAAATGATACTTCTAAATAAATATAAAATAAGGTATATATATATATATATATTATAAAAAAACAATTTAAACGAAATATATAGTTAAAGGCTATAAAAACAATTTAAGTTAAATAAAAAATCAATCTATCAACAGATCTATTATTATTATAATCACTTTTGTCTAAGACTTATCTTTGGCTTATATTCTATTTCTTATAAAGCATTTTTGGTTCACTTTTTTAAAAATGTATAAATTATGATGAATAGTTTTATAAAAAAATATTAACTTTTACATTCTTTCTTTCAAATTGTTGTTTAAGATATATACATACATTTTTGTGGGTCAGTGAGTGGGGGGAGGACAAAGTGGGATATTTTTTATAAGCTTAAAATGATATTCACAAAAAGTGATAAATTTCTGAGAGGTGGGAATATCTCCTTGCCCCCCCCTGGCTACGCCTATAATCGGCTAAATTATATGAAGAGTAGGCCTTCATATTATTCACGTTTGCTCATTTTGGGCAGATCTTTGACCAACGTGCTAGATAAGATAAGATAATAAAGTTATATCAGAATTCTGAATAAAATCCAAGCGAAGATTTTCCGGTTCATTTTTTGGAAGAATATGACTTAACAAATGAAATGGAATTTTGATGTCTATGGATTCAAATATTCTTAACTCACTCTTTATCATGAAAATGGTTATTCAAGAATAAAAAACAAATAAGATTTATATTCCTTTATAAAAATAACTATTAAATTACTATTACAATATCGGAAAGGGTAAGTTCCACTCATTTAGTTAAACTACAACTGGGTACAAAGTTTGTTGGTATCCTTGAGAAAAAAATCGGCATAATTTTATGAAGAGTGGGCCTTCATAAATTCACGTTCGCTCATTTTGAGCAGGTCTATGACCTACGTGCTAGATAAGATAAGATAAGATTCTGTTGAAATATATTGCACAGATTAATTGCCTTTACAAAATTGATATAATTAGATATTAACATTATTATAGCAAATATTAACCTTCTATAAATAATACGAAATATTATATAATTTCTAAGAATTATTGATTGTCATTCTGTGAATTTGTTGGCAAAGAAAAATACAAAGACTGCTTTAAAACTGGAAGGGCAGAAATACTACGGAGTTGACCATGGCACTTAAGGTCATTCTGGAAAAGGCCAGAATGCATAAATCCCCCATCTTTGCCCTGATGATTGATTTAAGTCAAGCCTTTGACTCCATAATTCAGAATAAGATATGGCCCTTGCTGGAAAACATTGGAATAGATAAACATCTGATAGCGTTAATTAAGATAATTGACGACAATCATAGCGTAGTTCCTCAGCATTTAAATATGAAGTCGCAACCTTTTAAAGCAAATAGAGGCCTCAAACAAGGATGCATCCTTTCACCGATAATTTTTAATGTAATAATGAATGATATCCTAAATAAATCCTTTAAACAGGAATATGCACTCAACACATATTACAGTGAGCAACAACACCTCAATGATATGCACAACTCTTTAAACTTTCTATGTTATGCTGACGACGTATGTATTCTAGCCAACTCAGAATACAAATTAAGAAATATTTTATCATTATTTGTCAACAACTGTGATGGATATGGTCTAAGAGTAAACTACACAAAAACCAAACTAATCACCTCAAATACTGATGCGAGTCACTTAAACCCCTTTAACTATGAGGGTAATACGATAGAATTAGTGTCAGATTTTAAATACCTAGGAACCAGGATAACGTCATTAGGCCTTACCTTTTTAGATACGAAATCGAGAACGAATAATGCTAGACTCCGCTATCATCAACTGTCGAAATTATGGTCATCCAACCAAATATCAACTAATTTAAAAATAATACTCTTCAAGCCCCTAATTGTACCCATTTTTACCTACGGCCTGGAGACTTGGCAAGACTCAAAAAGTAACATCAGCACAATTCAGACTTTTATAAACAAATGCCTTAGAAGAATCACCAAAACGTATTACCCATACAACACATCAAATACAACGCTCTGGAATAGAAGCGACATCTTATCAATCAATCGTCTCATACCCATGAGGAGACTAGAATTACTAGGCCATAGCTTAAGACACTCGCAGGAAAATATGATATTCTCGTCCTTGAAATGGTGCCTTGACGGTAGGAAGAAAACCCCTAAATACTATTGGTTGGCGAAATGTCTGAAAGATATGGACCTGATTAACCTCTCGTTTGCAGATTTCATGGCACTTAGCAAAAACAAGAAACACCTAAAGGAACATTTACAATACATGCTAAAATATGGCCTAAATTAATACCGCAATCGTTCTTCACCTTTACGTTCTTGCAATAAATGGAATAAGTGTATTTGATAATGATAATAACCTGAACAACAACAACATAACTTAACTTCCTTTAATAACCCACGACCTTCCTTTCTGGACACACGATATCGGCGGCGATAACGATAACAATTACGAAAATATTAGCTGTATAACAGGCAATGAGAAGATAAACTGGCTATAATAATAATGCAATAAATCTGACGAACCCAAATACCTTTGGCACAGAACATATAAGATCTACAGGACATACAATATTTTGGCACACCGAACAACAAACAAGGAAGAGACTCTTTCATGCAAACTTAACATAAACTCTCAATACTTAACAAGATATAAGGGTTATTTTTTTTGTTGCCTCACTAAATACCACTTAAGGACGCAGGTACATTTTTTATATGACATTATTTTTATTTTTTCCTTAACACTATTCTGCCGGAAACGGAACTAATACATCACCATTATTGTACTTCTTCCTTCTTTACTTTGATAACAGGCTACATAGTGGTACCGTCCACTATAATAAAACGGGTAGACATCATGTATGGGATCTATATACTAGTGAAAATACATGATGCACGCTTCAACTCCTGGTGGGTGATGAAATTGCACGTGAAATTGTACGGCAATTTCTGGCGTGGTAATGAATGAATGAATGATATAATTAGATGATCTGCATACAATGGATGAACATAAAAAAGATATAATTGCAATCATGAAAATGATTGCAAGATATAATAAAATGGAAGATATAAAGCTAAAAAAAATTATAACTCTTTGCAGGTATTAAAACATTTTAGTTATTTTTAAAATGTAAATTAGTAAACATGATCCTTCTCATATATTTCCTCAAATTATGGATAATCTTGCAAAAAAAACTAAAAAACATAAAATTCTCATCCATCTTACAAATGAATTGTTTATTAAACTTAAAAACTTTAGAGAAATAATAATTGAAAATTTCCAAGAATATGCTAATTATGTTATATATCCAAAATTTCCAAAAGTAAATTTTTTTTAATTTAAAATTTATAACATTTTTTAGATATCAAATCAAATCCAGCCCCAAACTCAATTTCTGGCTCTTAAATTTTTTTATCACTGGTATCAGCTCTATAAAAATGATTACTTTATATTAATATCAGCTTATAACTACTTTATAGGAATTGAATCAGTAAAGAATATAATAACTAATTTTATATATATTTATCATAGTTACCCTTAAATAAAATTATAATAGAAGAAAAAGAAGCTAATATGTTATTTGAAAATGAAAAGAGACTTTGTAAATACAGATTATTAATTAACAAAGAATTGTTTCTGAATGAAATTATAGGTATTTTAATAATTGCTTATTTTTTTATTCTATGTCTACTAAAATTAGAATGATTATTTATTTTAACATGTTATGCTACATATTTTTTTTAATGTTAACATAGGCATACCAAAGGTGTTGCTATTATATTATTTTTATAATTATTATCAGAGTTGTTAACAGAGTTGGGCAGATCCTCTTAAAAAAGAATCTAGATACAGATTCTTTGTGAAAAAATGAATCTTAGATATAGATAGTAGTATCTTTTTCAAAATATCACTTTTAAATTATCATTACCAATTAATTTAGAATAGCTTATAAAATATATTTTTTACTATTTATTTGTAAATAACATAAAATACACATATAATAAGAATGAATATTTACAATAATTTATAAAACATTTAATGATGAGTTAATTATAATAATCAGGCATTTTAATCTTAGTATTAGCCCATCCTTAGCATAGAATAAGAAGGGAGACTAGTATTTTTAATTGGAGTTGAATTATTAATTTGCAGAGTATTTAAAATACATCAAATAATTTATCATTAGACCATTGCCATTTTGGTATACTTAACATTGTACTAAAACTAAATAACCTTAATTGGAGCTGATGAAGGTATTGCAGTATTATATGTATAAAAGATTTCTTTAATGGAAGGATAATAATTATGCATTTATAATATTTAGACTTAATTTAATTTAAAACCTCCAGGTCAAAGTTATTTTTATTATTGAACTCAGCACCATTTGTTTCACCAAACAAAAAATAATCATTGTTTGAGCTTGATTATATACTCTGGTACTACATTTATGGCTTCTTTTATTAAGATATTTTTAAATAATTTTTTTTATTATCCAACTCAATCTATAAGTTCTTAAAATATGGATATGATATTGATCAAAAAAGCCACATTATATTTAAATCATAGGAAAATATTTTCTTAAAATCTTTTGCCCATACCATTTTGGGAAGCTTTTAATAAAGGTAGACAATATTGTAAACTTGAATCTTTAAGATAACTTATGCCCTTTTTAACTACACATAAATAATACACTTTATTATGTTAAAAAAATTTGTGTTTAAACCTTTATCATTTTTTTGTTTATACAGGTTTTACATCTAGCCTGTAAATTGTCTTTAACTTTTATTAAAAAAAATTTCGATATAAAATTTTAAGGGGATACGATTCAAGGGAACTTATTTCTATAAATTAAATTTCAATACAATGAGTGTTAATCAACCTGCAAATTAAAAATATTGCAGAAAATTGGTAATGATATTCTATCGAGTTACATTTATATATAAAATATAATCTATACATATTTCGTTTTGGTGTTGTTATTTTTTATCTTTTTACCTTAATATGAGTTGTTAATTTTACTGGTAAATTTTACTGTCAATATATTAAAATATGACAGAAAATAATATGGAAATAAATACAAGATTTTCGAAGAAAATAAAATATATACTGATATGTAAAATTTTAAACAAGAATATTAAAAAGAATATGTATCTGTATCTTTTGCCAAGAAAATGAAAAAGATTCTTTTTAGATAAAGGATCTTAGATACAAATACTAGTATCTTATTAGAAATGTCATAAAGATACTGAGTACAAGATACAAAAGGATCTTGTATCTTAGATACAAGTATTCTTGGTACTGCCCAAACTCTGGTTGTTTAGTTGTACTTTTTAAATGGATTAAAATACAGATACATTGTCTAAAAATGAATCTAGATACATATACAATTTATATTATACTAAATATATTATAAGAGCACAAAATTTGTAAACAACATTTATATATTTTGTTTTCATTCAATTTGAATATCATATAAAAAAATATCAATGCCCCTATTTTTATCATTCTCTTGAACAAATTCTTATTTAAAACATTCATTTATTTGAAATTTTTTTTAAAACTTATAATTTATTAAATGTCAGTGGAATATGTATAAAATTATTTTTTAAAATTCCAAATAAATTATTTGCTTAAAATAATTTTGTGCATCAATGGTATTGTTTTTAATAATTATAGTGTCATGACTTAGCAAGGATTTATTATTCCTCTACAGTAGAAAATATTCCTCATACTCTTGAACTGATAATGATATTTATAGATTTGATAGGAAAAAAATAATATTTAATTAATATTTTATAAAAGTCTTAATATTTTTTAATATATATTTATTTTAATATTAGCTGATAGCCTGCCAAGAATGATGGGGAATCAGAATTTTCTCCTTTATTTAATGATGGGTGAATTGAATGAAATTCATTTTTGGGATTTTAAAATGTCTTGTAAAAAAGAAATATATATGATTGATGGTATCTAATCTTTTCCCTTATGACAGCAATTCTTGAATCTGCCATCTGAACGTTTTTCCAAAGAAAAATTTAGAGAATCACAACATTGGCACTTAGTGTTGAGCAAGCCACAATAATGTTCTTGTACCAATGATTGTTGTGCAGGAATATCTATCTAAAATAAATAATAAAAATTGTATTTACAATTTAGTACTTTATAAATAAAATAAATTTGAGGCCTGCTAAAAATTATACATACAATTTAATATTTTTGTAATTAAAACAAATCGGAGGCCTGCAGGCCTGCTCTGTTATAAACATATGCCAGGCTTTTTTTAAATATTAGTGCTGGGCAATTCTGATTCCCAAATTTATTATTTATTCATCATTGAATAAAAAAAATATTCTGAAAGCCCGTTATTCTTGACTGGCTATCAGTTATTTAAAAATAATGTAGATTATTAGTGTCATAATATGTTGTAAAAATCAAATATCTCTCTCCTCCCTTTACCTATTAAAACTTTTTAAATATAATAAATTTTATTTTGAAATTTCCACGTTATTTGATGATATATAAATCAGAAAATAAAAGAAAATATTTGAATCACACTCTCATCAAAATGATGGGGAATTGGAATTTTATTCTATATTTGATGATGGATAAATCAGAAAAATAAAGGGGAAATTTTTAAATTATCAATCAACGAATAAGGGAGAAAGTTCTGATTTCACTATCATCTTGACAGGCAAAATGAAAGATAAAATAACTAAGTGCTACTAATCGTGAATGGCTCAAAGTTAACTGGTTTATAGAAGGATATAGATACTTAATGTTTGATGAAGGGGAATGAGGTATCTTAAATTAAAAGTTGCATGTGAGAAATATATGATATTTCAAATAGGTTTAATTTGATTTTAGTTAAATTGATTAAATTTTTTGGATTAAGTTTATTTGTCAAAAGTGGTAAAATATTTACCCATACAATTTATAGTATTTTTATTCAACCTTCGAATTTTTATATTCTGAGTCTCAGGGTTAGGCAGTATGGCGAATACTTGTATCTAAGATACAAGATCCTTTTGTATCTTCTCAGTATCTTTTTGACATTTTTAATAAGATACTAGTATCAGTATCTAAGATCCTTTATTCTAAAGAATCTTTATCATTTTCATTTTATTGACAAAAGATAGATTTTTTTTAATATTCATATTTAAAATTTTACATATCATAGTATATATCTTATTTTCTTTGAGAATCATGTATTAATTTCCTTTTTTTCCACCATATTTTAAATATAATTACAATTAAAATTAGTTGAAAATTTTACAACTCATATTAAGGTAGATAGATAAAAAATAACAATACCAAAACATAATAAGTATAGATTATATTTTATATATAAATGTAACTCGATAGAATATTACCAATTTTATGTAATATTTTTTTAATTTGTAGGAATTAACACTCATTGTAGTGAAGAAGAAGATAGTGAAATTTAAATTATGGAAATAAATTCCCATGAATCAAATCCAAATCTTAAAATTTTATATGGAAATTTTTTAAAAATAAAAGTTAAAAAAGACAATGTACAGGATAGATGTAAAACCTGTATAAACAAAAAAATGATAAATGGTTAAACACAAGTTTTGTTAAACATTAAAATATATTATTTATATGTGGTTAAAAGTGACATATGTTATCTTAAATATTGTTTACTATATTGTCTACCTTTATTAAAAGCTACCTAGGTGGTATGGGCAATAGATTTTAAGAAAATATTTTCCTATGATTTGAATATAATGAGGCTTTTTTGACATCAATATCACATCCATATTTAAGAACTTATGGATTGAGTCAGATGATAAAATTAATAAAAGAAGCTTTAAATGTAGTATCAGAGTATATAATCAAGCTCAAACTATAACACCGATAGATTTAACATCTAATCAAGAAAATCATGATTATTTTTCTTTTGGTGAAACAAATGTTGTTGAGTTCAATAATACAAATAATAATGAACTGGAAAGTAGGAAATTTTTTATAAATATAATATTGCAAAACCTTCATCAGTTCCATTGAAAGGCAATTTAGTTTTGGTACACTGTTAAGTAGGCCAAAACAGTAAAGATCTAATAATAAATTATTTGAAAAATTTGATTATCCTATAAAATAATGAATCTATTTTAAATACTCTTTTGCAAATTAATATCAACTCCCATTGAATTCTATTCTCTCTTCCCTATCTATGCTAAGAATGGACTATTACTAACATTAAAATGCCTGATTATTATACTTAACTCATCATTAAATATTTTATTAATTATTGTAAATATTCATTCTTATTATATGCGTATGTTATGTTCTTCACAAATAAATAATAAAAACTATAATATATAAACTATTCTAATTTAATTGATAATTTAAAAGTATATTGATCCTCTAATTAAGCATATATCCTAGATTCATTTTTTCACAAAGAATCTGTATCTGTATCTAGATTCTTTTTTCAGAGGACCTGCTCAACTCTGTTAAGTTTATACTCAGTCCAGACATAATGATATATTATATGAGAGATCACAATTAAAATTTTTCAAAAATTTTTATGGTAGAATATCTATATTTCATATTAAATGTTGTATATTGTTATTTAATAAATTTTCCTCTTCACCGAACAATAAAAATATCTATTCTAGTTATAAAACAAAC